AGCCTGTAATCCCACGCCTTTGGGAGGCCGAGGTGAGTGGATTGCCTGAGCCCATGGGTTTGAGACCTACCTGGGCAGCGAGACCTCATCTCTACAACAAATCAAAATATCAGCCGGGCATGGTAGCGCATGCCTGTAATTCTGGCTACTCGGAAGGCTGAGGTGGAAGGATCGCAGGAGCCCAGCAGGCGAGGCTGCGGTGGCCGGGAGTGGCCACTGCATTCCAGTCTGGGCAACCAAGTGAGACTCCAACTCAAACAAAACAAAACAAAACAAACAAACAAAAATGGATCAGGCTCACACCTATAATCCCAGCACTTTGGGAGGCTGAGGTGAGAGGATTGCCTGAGCCCATAAGTTCAAGACCAGCCTAGGAAACTTGGTGAGACCTCATCTCTACAGTAAATCAAAAAATAAACTGAGTGTGGTGGCACATGCCTGTAGTTCCAGCTACTTGGAAGGCTGATAGGAAGGATTGCCTGAGGCTGCGGTGGACGTGAGCATTGCCACTGCACTCCAGCCTGGTTGACAGAATGAGACTCCAACTCAAAAAAAAAAAAAAGCTGGGCTCGGTGGCTCAGCCTGTAATCCCGCGCCTTGGGAGACTGAGGTGAGTGGATTGCCTGAACCCGCGGGTTCGAGACCTGCCCGGGCAACTTGATGAGACCTCATCTCTACAATAAATAAAAAATTAGCTGGGCGTGATAGCGCACGCCTGTAGTTCCAGCTACTTGGAAGGCTGAGGCGGAAGGATTGCCAGAGCCCAGCAGGTCAAGGCTGCGGTGGCCGGGAGCGGCCGCTGCACTCCAGTCTGGGCGACAGAGTGCGACTCCAACTCAAAAAAAAAAGAATCATCTTCACTCTGCCTTTCCTGAAGGGCTGTATTTACAGGTCCCTGTAGTCCTGGGAAGGATAGGAGGCAATTCCCAGAGACCTGATGTTGCTTTAGCCCAAGGGAGTAGGATGTGGGGAACAATAAGTCAAAGGCTTAGGAACGGTCCATTTTAGGAAAGACTGAGTAGTGGTGCAGTGGTCATCTGGGTTCTTTCCCGTCTTTTTTTCCTCTAAAACTGAGGAAGTAACACTGGATATAACCCTTTGTGTGTCTGTGACTGAGTGACCGAGTCTCATGTAACTCAGTATAAGCCTGAATGTCCCCCTGACAGTATGTGGCTCTGTGTGTGAGCATTTGGGGAGGTGGGTCAATGTGTGACCCTTTTGTGTATGTCTGCACCAGTGACTCTCAACTGGAGGTGTGGCTTGCCCCTCAGGGAGACATTTCTGGTTGTCACAGCTATATGAGGGCTGGGGAGAGTGTTGTGCCTGCTGGTGGCATCTAGTGGGTAGAGGTCAGAGACAGCACTAAACAACCTACAGTGCACAAGACAGTTCCCATGGCAAGGAATTACCTGGCCGAACATGTTAATGGTGCCAAAGTTGAGAAACTTTGGTCTACTTGTAACACTATCAGTAACACTGTAATCAATGTGATTCTGTATCATTCTGTGTCTGTGTTACCAAGTAGCTCTAAGAGTAACTAAGATAAGTAACAAGTAAGTAAAGTGACGTGAGTAGCCCTGTGTCTGTGTGAGACCTAAGTCTGTGAACAGGGCCTCCACCAGACTTTGCATCTGACTCCTCCTCCCTCCCTGAACTCCTTGCTGCCCCCTCTGCCCACAGCTCCGGTTTCCCCTGCAAGAGTTCATCCTGGCCATGGGCTTCTTCTTAGTCCTGGTGATGGAGCAGATCACGTTGGCTTACAAGGAGCAGTCAGGACCACCTCCTCTGGAGGAGACGAGGGCTCTGCTGGGAACAGTGAACGGTGGGCCGCAACACTGGCATGATGGGCCGGGGGTCCCACAGGCAAGTGGTGCCTCGGCGGCCCCCTCAGCCCTGCGTGCCTGCGTACTGGTCTTCTCCCTAGCACTGCACTCGGTGTTCGAGGGGCTGGCAGTGGGGCTGCAGCGAGACCGAGCTCGGGCCATGGAGCTGTGTCTGGCCTTGCTGCTCCACAAGGGCATCCTGGCCGTCAGCCTGTCCCTGCGGCTGCTGCAGAGCCACCTGCGAGCACAGGTGGTGGCTGGCTGTGGGATCCTCTTCTCATGCATGACTCCTCTAGGCATTGGGCTGGGCGCAGCTCTGGCAGAGTCAGCGGGGCCTCTCCACCAGCTGGCCCAGTCTGTGCTAGAGGGCATGGCGGCTGGCACCTTCCTTTATATCACCTTCCTGGAAATCCTGCCACAGGAGCTGGCCACTTCTGAGCAGAGAATCCTCAAGGTCATTCTGCTCCTAGCAGGCTTTGCCCTGCTCACCGGCCTGCTCTTCATCCAAATCTAGGGGGCTTCACGAGAGGGGCAGGGGAGATTGTCTCTCAGGTGCCCCTGTTCTCCCTCTCCTCCCCCAGTGTGTGAGGAATAGGAAGGAATGGAACCTGAGAGCAAAAACGTTCTCTGGGAGGTAGGGAATGGAGCCTTTGGAACTATCTGACCAATGAGAGGGAAGTGGGCAGACAAGGGACTGGCCCCAGGCCCAAGGAACAAGAGACGGGCAAGTCACTACAGACATGGTCAGGGGACAATGGGATCAGAAATTGGACACTATACATAGGGACAGGCTGGCACTGGGAGGCTGGAGCTGGGCACCCAGTTGCTGTGGGAGAGAGGCATGGAGAGGGCATAAACACAGTCAGTACCCTGAGGGTTCTTGCCCAGGTCAGCACTCTGCCACCTGGGGGGACCCCCAACTTTTCTTAGCTCTGTTCTTATATCTATCTCCCTCTTCCCAGGGAATGAGTGCCAAGTGGTCTCTGCCAGTTTTAGTACCTTCTTCTGGCCTCTCCGTCCTGCTCACTCTATTTTTAAAGTGCCAAACAAACCCCCTCCTTTCTCAAAGCACAGTGATGTGGCACTGAGCCCTGCCCACACCTCAGTGGAGGGGACCTGTTTGCTGTTTCCTGTTTTGGTCCTAGCTTCTGGGGTGGGACAGAAATGTTTGTAGGGCTGAGGGGTGGGAAGGGTTGGAGAGCTGCAGCCACCTACCACTGCTGTGCCCTAGGAATATGGGCCATGGATATGGTGCCCCATGCCCAGATGATTAACACTGAGCTGCCAAAACTTTTTTTAATACCCAAGGAACTCGAGGGGGAAGGGAGATGCCCGACCTCGAGGTTATCTTTGGGGAGGGAGGGCTGTGCATAGGGCCATTTTCTCTAGAATCTATTTTACTAACTGACCTGTTTTTGGGATATGTTACCTAAATAAAAGATGTTTCTATACATCTGCACGGTATCTGCTTAAATTGCCTTGGGCAGGGGGTGGGCATGTGGCCAGCCTGAGAGGACCCTTGAGTCCCAGATGTCTACAGCTCTTTTAAGATCCTTGGTCTCACTGTTTTCACCCCTTCCCTGAAGGTGACCAACTTTTCTCCTCCTCCTGTCTCTTCCTCCTTTCTTCCCTGTCTCCACCTCTTCCCTTCCCTTCCTTCCCTCGCTTTGCTCCCTCTCCCCTTTCCGCTCGTGGGCTCGGGACTCCTTAGGGACTACTCTTCCCAGCTTGCCCCTCGTCGGGAGGATGGGGCCGAGTCCCCAGGTCCCGGAGTCAGCGGGCTGCTGGGAAGTGGAGTCCGTTTCCGCCCGCTGCCGCGCGGCTGGACACGCGGGGGAGTCACGTAAACAAACTACAACTCCCGGCGGCCCCCGCGCGCCGCAGGTCAGGGCTAGGCTGGGGCCGGGTTCGCGGTGCTCGCCGAGGCGGCTGCGGCGGCTACGGCTGGAGGAGCCGGGCCGGAGCCCGCGGCGGAGGCCGTGGCTGGTGCTGGGAGGGTGGCGGGCAGGGACGGGGGAGGAAGATGGCGACGTCGGGGGCGAACGGGCCCGGCTCGGCCACGGCCTCCGCTTCCAATCCGCGCAAGTTCAGCGAGAAGATCGCGCTGCAGAAGCAGCGTCAGGCCGAGGAGACGGCGGCCTTCGAGGAGGTGATGATGGACATC